ATATGTCTATGGGGTCGTGAAGAGTCGGACTCAACTGTGTGACTGAACAACAACAAAAACCTATACACATTTAGGTTGAAGTAAATCCTGTTGATTTCAATTGAATTGCTTTCCAGATAAGTGAGTTTAGCATTGCAGTCTGAGCTATTACAATTTAAACTGTGTTAAAATAATTTTAAGATGTCGTAGGGAGAAAAATTAGCTCTTTATCTCCAATGCAAGGCAGCAAAATCAAACAGAAAATCGGTTTATATTAATCTGGTCCCCTGAAGTGCCAAATATGCCTTTTGAAGACAATGAAAAGCATAGGATCTCAACTTTAAGAATAATAAAAAAACATATTAGGAACAAATAAATTGCTTTTAAATTCTGTAGCATGGATGGAAGTGAAAGATAGCAATTTCATGGCCTGAAAAGAAATATTTATAAACTCATGCTGTGAGACTGGAGATCTCCATCAGGTAAGAATTCTTCTATGTGGTGGTTTTGAAATAAATCATTAATTCAGAAAGATAGGTAACAGGATGAAATTATATACCAAAATGAGTGTAGTGAAGCAATTAGCATATTTATGGTTTATAGTCCAAATCACTAATCTGCCATATTTGAAGTTTCATATTGCTTATAAGCTGGTTAATTAGATGGCTGCCGCAGTTATGAGGAAATGTCAGTGACGTGGAAATACTTCTTTACCCAATGAATAATAAAATTGTAGAATTCACTGTCAGTGGATATAGTGACTGCCACAAGTATAGATTGCTTTAAAAGGGGGGTTTGACAGGTCCATTAATGGCTACTAACTGTGGTGAGCTAAGGGAACCGCCATATACAGAGACAGGAAATCTTTGAATACCAGTGTTCCACAGCAGCATTGGGGGAAGACTTTGGCCTTTGTGCCCCATTCATTGGCCCTCAAGAGCAACTGGTTGACCACTGTGTGAACAAGTGTGCTGGACTAGATGGACCAATTATCTGATCCATTGGGGCTCTACATATGTTCTTATGATGTGGCACTTAGTTTTTTTAGTCCTTCTAATTGTTGCTAACTGTGGGTATGTATTACAGAAACAATATGGTGGCTTGGATCCAATGGAGTTTATCCATGAGTGGAAGGTTTTCCACCTAAGGAGCATGACAATCTTGCCACCCCCCTCCTGTTGCAGCCCTAAATGCCCCCCCAATGCTACTTACAATATCCAAGACAATACAGATAATAGTGATAACTAAGATTGCCATTGGATTCCATTCCCTATCCTTAGTATTTTACAACTGGAAGTGGGGACACTCCTATTCAGATGTCAGGAGCAAGGCCATCCACAGAATTCCCACAAGCGGAAACTAGAAAATAATGAAACAAACAATCAGTTGGATCCTAGCAGCTCTTCCATGCAATTTTGCCCAAATTCCTCCATACTATACCCTTTGCCCTACATGGCTTTTGTATATGTTAAGTCCTGAGCTTAACAAAGATACACGTTCCCGCTTCCCGTTCGCTTGAACGTGATTGGACCAATAGTCTTGGACTTGAAGCCCTAGTCCAAGACGAAGCTTCCCTGTGGGATGATTCACCCATATCCGCATGTACCATGTCTGCATATGAATACATTACAATTCACACCAGTCTTGTGATCCCCAGTGTAAAAATTTTTGGGTGGTCAAAGGGCACCCCTCTTCCTTTTTCACCAGCAGAAAGGTTGGTTGGGTCTAACCCTATAAGCAGATAAGTCCTGACTATGAAAGCTGCAGACAACAGCAAAAGTAAAAGATGAAGCACAGATAACTATACTATACTCTGGGTATAATTTAGAAGGTATTGCAGAATATTTTTGCCCTATTTTGATGATGCAAAACACTGGGAATGTGTGCCTTGCTATAGGCAATGAATGAATTCACACTAGAGAATTCTGAAGCACAAATATTAGTCCCATGGTACAGATGAGGAACACCTAGAGAAATCTACATGCCCAAGGCCAAATACTACATCCTCAATAAAAAAAAATCTTAAGCATATAAGATGTGGAAATGGAATATACCTCACTTTCACAAGAACACTTCCTTGTTCAGAAGGGTTCTGCCTCTATACATGGAGCTTCCATTTAGTTATCATGGTTCATAACCAATAACAGGCTACAAGCAGATAAAAAATAAAATTAGTTCTGTAAACAGCAGTTAAGAAGCCTTGGGCATCTAATTAGCAATCCTACAGCAGACCATTTATCTCCTAGAAAGAGGTACACCTCATTTTTTTAGTACAGTACACAAGTAATACTACTAGGGAATCTTTGCTTTCATTTTATCCTTTTATTACAGTACAACATAACTATTTACATTTTTAGCAAGGACTGACATAACCATCCATTGATTTTACACAAAACAGCATTTACACAGAACAGCATTACACAGAAGAGCCAGTTTGGTGTAGTGGTTAAGTGTGCGGACTCTAATCTGGGAAAACCAGGTTTTATTCTCCACTCCTCCACTTACACCTGCTGATGTGACCTTGGGTCAGTCACAAACTCTGGCACAGCTGTTCCTGAAAGAGCAGTCTGTGTCAAGAGTTCTCTCAGCCCCCCCTACCTCACAGGGTGTCTGTTGTGGGGAGGGGAAGGGAAAGGAGTTTGTAAGCCGCTCTGAGACTCCAAGTGAAGGGCAGGGTATAAATTCAATCTCCTCCTCTCCTCCTCCTCCTTCATTTGAGCCCATTAATTATTTCTTACTGAAAGTAAGCAAGTCACAGGCAATGACTGTCTTTAAACAAGATGTTCAAGAGAGTTCAGTTTTCCATACTTAACAGGTTTCAAAAATAATCTTCCAACAGTAAATAGGTGTCCAACCTGATGATGCTCACATTTTGGACTAATATATTATCTTATTTTACAACTTCAGACATTATACAGAGTTATCTGTATTGGAATATCTTCTTCAAATATATAAACAATGGATTTGTGCACTCTTACTATTTCTCGTCATCAAAAGAATATAAAAAATAGGGTCTACAAGTTTTTCATATATATGATTTTCTGCTGGCCCACAGCCAATCTTGGAACTATACCTTCACTTCTACATTCCCTTGTACATTCTTGCCATTCTCAGATGCTTCTTGCACCTGGACTCAGACATATATCTACTGATACTAATGATACTACTTCTGTTACATTTTACATATTCTGCAGGATGAGAGAAATGTAGAAAGCTTCCTGATCTTGTCAGGCAGGTCATTCCTCAAGGTGGGCATCTTACGTGTTTAGTGATGAGCTAGATGGAGGCTCCCTGGGCAGCTCTATCCAGATAAGACTGAAGTACTGTTGGTTGATGCTCATACCAGTCATGGAAGTGGGAGATAGCCTACGCTGGATGGAACTGTAAAGAGAGGTTCACAAATTTGGGGTGCTACCTGTACTTCAACTATGCTTTCCATTGGCCAAGTCACAGTAAAAGACTAGGAAATGCAAACCTCCCAAACCCTTGTAAAAATTACTTCCAGACTGAAGTGGCATACTGATCACCTGTACCTCAAATATAAAAACAATATCCATACATCAAGGTTAATCACAGACGGCACTTTTCCCAGGACACTAGTGCAAATTCTAATCATTAGAGTGACTTAAAGGGTTAAAGGAAGGCACTCAGTACTTCTTTGGCAACCCTCCACTCACTGCTTTTAAAATAACCAATCAGGAGCTCATTCTCTACACATTCTCTACATTTTTGCCTTACATTGGTTTGCTTTCCTTCTGCTACTTATGATGCCAGAATTTTTGCTGGAGAAGACCTTGATGCTGGGAAAGATTGAAGGTCAAAGAAGACGGGGACGGCAAAGGATGAGATGGTTGGACAGTGTCATCGATGCAACGAACATGAAACTGAGCAAACTTCAGAGGACAGCGGAAGACAGGAGGGCCTGGCGGGATCTAGTCCATGGGGTCGCGAAGAGTCGGACTTCGACTGTGCGACTGAACAACAACAACAACAAAAGATTTTGAGGGCACAAACTGTATGGAGGCAGGAACTGTTGTTTATGCTTCTCTAAGTCAGTAAAGCACTACTGCATATAATGATGGTGTTGTAATAATAATATTCTACAGTTACTTGTGTGTCCTTGGGAATGTGCTGTAGCTCGCCATTGGAGGTCACAAAAAGGGGGCACTCCCTCCCAATGGTTTTGTCCCAAGGTCCACACAAGATTTTAAAAAATGATTTCTTGAAAGAATTTCTTCTTGATACTGTAATTGTGGCAGATTTCTCATTTCACTTGAGGAAGGGAATTGAAAACAAATCAGCCAGTATCATAATGCCCCTGTATAAATCAATGGTGCAACCTTATTTGGAATATTTTGCAGTGCTCTCTGGGGTACATATGGGGAGCTTTGCTGCTTCACTGTTTGGGTTTAAGGCTGACCTGACCCCTGCCACTTTCAAGTCCTTTCCAGGCTCTCATCCACTGGTGGCGTGCACGGGTGTGAAAAAGCAAAAGTCAAGGGATGGCCATGCAGGAAGGGTGATTTACAACTGTATTCCTGAAGAGACGTTAGCCTCATTCTTGCAAAATGTTTGGATTCACACAGTCTCTCTGTCCTCCCACTTAGAACAATACTGTAAGCATTTAACTATGTGCAAAAAAAATCCTTCTCCCCAACTTGTACATACTTAACTTTCACTCTGCTGCTTCACTGTTTGGGTTTAAGGCTGACCCGACCCCTGCCACTTTCAGGTCTTTTCCAGGCTCTCATCCACTGGTGTGAAAAAGCAAAAGTCAAGGAATGGCCATGCAGGAAGGGTGATTTACAACTGTATTTCAGCCTTCCTGAACATTACTGTGCGCAAGAGACGTTAGCCTCATCCTTGCAAAATGTTTGAATTCACACAGTCTCTCTGTCCTCCCGCTTAGAACAATACTGTAAGCATTTATCTATGTGCAAAAAAATCCTTCTCCCTGCATGACCCGGAGGGTCCCCCACTTGTACCTACTTAACCTTCACTCCGTCTTTTTTTCATTAAAGGGGTAGAGGGCCACTGAAGAATACATCAGATGTGATTAATGCAGCAAAAATGATATCAGTGTCAGGATCCAGGATGGATATGCTTGCAAGGCAAATTTCTAACCAGGTGGGTTAACACAGTGGTGCGTGACATCTATTTCTGTTGGTTTTTACCAGTGCTAATGATTGGAGATAACCAATGTGTGCAGCAAGAATGAAAATGAGGTTTTGGAGAATGGGATGAAATAGACAGTAATCCAGTAAAGGCTCTTATATTGCTGAAAAGGCAGGCCTCATTTTAAACAGCAGTCTATAGCCTCACTGGAACCTAGCTATTAAAACAACTGATCACATTGGATAGATATTGAAAGGTGATTTAAAGATGGAAATAAAAGAACTACAAATGGATTTTTGAGAATGAATTTGGGGCATGGGTAGAAGTGGTACTGAACACATGAGCTGCCTTATATTGGGTCAGCCTATTGATCTGTCAAGATAAGTATTGTCTACTCTGACTGGGAGTGGCTCTCCAGTGGGTCTAACACCTTACCTATTTTAAACTGGATATTCTGAAGATTAATTTTATTTTTATTTACTGCATTTATAACCTGCCTAGAAAAAGGTCCCCAGTAAGGATGTAAAGGGGCTTATATCATTCTTGTCCCCTCTATTTTATCCTCACAACAACTCTGTGAGGAAGGTCAGGCTGAAAGTGTGTGACTGGCCTTGGCTGTTAAGACTGCCAATGATGCCTCTTCAAATACTTTCATACAAAACAGTAATTAAAATAATATTATAAAGAGAGAGAGAGAGACCCATGTATAACCAGATGTTGCCGGTAGGGTTGTTGGTATGGGGTTCCCCTACTTTTGGGGTCGCCAATCCACTGCCAGCCAGCTGGCCAGCGAGGGAAGCCCCACCCCTAAAGAGCCCCATTACGCCCATACCCAGCATGATGACGTCACCTGGAGGTGATATTATCACACTGGGCACGTCGCAAAGGGGATTCCCTAGCATTTGGCTAAAAACTTTATGGTTACCAAATGCTAGAGGGTCCCCAGTACAACATGCCCAGTGTGATGACGTCATGCCAGAAGATCCAGGAACCCAGTCTGGAGCACTCTGCCAGCAGCCAGGTAAGACCTGGCAACCCTCGCTGCTGATAAGGCAGAAAGTGAAGACACAGACTATGGTCAGACAACGCGCTCTGGCCCCGCCTCTAATTTTTCCATTTCAATTTGTAATGGAGAGTTTGGATCAGACATTCCACCCTGAACCCGCTTCACCACGTGCTCACTCCATGGTTGACCATTCAGATTTTTACTGCGCGGTAACCATGGAGGGGGTGGTCAGGTGGCATCCTTTTTTAAAGGCGCAGAAGCATTCATTTGAATCATAACTCCATTTTTACAGCTCCACGATCCCTCCACCAAGTATTGCATCCCCTCTCAGCCCCCTTTGCTTTGCCTCTCTTCCTTGCATGACAGTAGCTCCATTGACTTCAGTACAATTTCCCTTGTGTCAATCATGGGATGCTCTCAAACAGTAACTCTGAAGCAGAACCAGAAGAGTGGGGTTTGAGGGGGGGATCCAGAATGACTACTTGGCCGCTTGCAAGTGATGTTTGACAACGCCAGGGGTGATTATGCAGACATCGCTAAGAAATCAAAAGGGAGGGGGGACAGAATGGAAGGTTCACGCTCCCAACCAGCTTGATTTTCAACAGGGGAGTTCAGATAGCCAGAAATGTGGGGTGAAAGTGCAGACATCTGTAAAGACCAGACTTTCCCCTGTGTCTGATAACTCTGATAGCTCAGAATGGGGTGGTACTGGCTAGGGAACAGGAGGCAGGTGTCGCTGTCTGATTGTGCACTTTACATCCAGAAGGGATATGCAAGGACATCGGCTCAAACTGCCCGTCTGACCACAGCCACAGTTTGGTATTCAGAAAGTAAAAGCTATTTTTCATAAATAGCAAAGCAGAAGTTTATATGGTATTTGGAAAATTGCAAAGAGAGAGAGAGAGAGAGAAAAGTAGAGTATACAAACAGTTCTGCAGTACTTCATGCCAGATGTATCCCCCAAGGCAGGGTTCAAAGCTTCCTTACAAAGAGTTGTTTTATCAGATCATGGGCCTAAATCATGTTTAATCCCATTTGGAGCAGGAGTAAGAGTTCAACCATGCTGGCTGCCTCCCTAGAGAGCTTCAAGGACTCCCAGCAACCAGCTAACTCACAGCTCCATTTAGCTTCTAGCTCCACTTCTTTTGATTAACTTGAAAGCTAAATGCATGTGTTTTAGGCAAATTAAAATCCTATATTTGTATTGGTTACCAAGAGTGTCTTCTTGGCCAATGAGAAAGAGTCAGACATTGTGAATAAGGGAAACTAAGCATCTGTGAAGAATGGCAGCTTTAATTTTATGGGCAGAGATGATTACCCGTCCTCACCTTGGCAGGAAAGAGTAGTTCCCTTGAGCAAAAGAGCATGTACACAACAAGCCATTAATGGAAGAAATGCTAAGTTCCCTCTCATGTACCAGATAATACAACATCCACATTGCAGGAATCGAGTTTCAGATAAGACAAAAAAAAAAGAAAGGCTTTGGGAGGTCTAGCTTCAAAATGACATTTTAAAATAACTCGACTGGACCTATAAAGGCAGTTGAATAAAGCACTATATAAGACATTGTATCTAAAGATGACTGTGCAGTTCCTTCCCTGATTACATTGCTACACTTTGTGGATACAGACCTGGACAGAAAAGGTCCCTGCCAGTCTCCAGGCGGGGACTGGAGTTCTCCCAGAAATACCACTGATCTGCAGACAACAGAAGATGGAGGAAATGGTAGATTCTCCCTGAAGAAAATGGCAGACAAGAGATTGGCCTCTATAGAACCCACCCCCACTGGGCTCCCTCCCATCCCCAGACTCTGCCCTCTTCAGGCTCCAGACCCAGATCTCCCGGAATTCCCAACCCTAATCTAAAAGGCAGTGCAGCTCTTAAAATATAAACCGCACTAACAATGAGGTCTTTTTTGGAAAAGGCGAGGGAGAGAGAGACCTGGACTGTCCTTGCTTCTTCCTCCCCACATGACTGCCAGTTATCTGATCTAGTATGACCGCATAGCCCCAGCCACTGCGGATGTGTCTGGACTGGAGCCCTTGTTATGAAATGTGTACGTTTTCCACAGCCTTTCTCTAGCTGCCTTGGCCGGTAGGGCGGGGTATACATATAAAGGAGAGAGAGACCTGGACTGTCCTTGTTTCTTCCTCCCCACATGACTGCCAATTATCTGATCTAGTATGACCACATAGCCCCAGCCACTGCGAATGTGTCTGGACTGGAGCCCTTGTTATGAAATGTGTACGTTTTCCACAGCCTTTCTCTAGCTGCCTTGGCCGGGAGGGCGGGGTATACATATATATATATGTATGTATGTATGTATATATATATATATATATATGTATGTATGTGTGTATGTATATATATATATGTATGTGTGTGAGTTCATGACACAGACAATATTGTCCTTTTGCCAAATCACATCAGCTTGTCACCCAGGGTATCTTGGAGTACAGCTCTATTAGTGTGGTACTTCCTTACCATCAACACCTCAGCCCTAATGCACTAGAGAATTTTCAGTATCCTAAATGTCTGGGCCAGTAAGGAAAGTAAACCCCTCTTTTCCTTCTGTCGCTTTGAAAGTGAAAGAGCAGTTGAAATAAGCAATCACTTGGTAATGAAGACTCATTGATGCATCCCTTTGACCTTTTCCAGTTCATAAAGTCGAGCAGTTTCAAATGAATGACTTTTACTTGGGCTGCATGTAATCTCAGATCGTCAAAATGGAGAATTGTGAAGCCATTTGAATTAGGCCATGTGAGTTTTTGCCTTTGGGGGAGAAAAATGCTGCAGCTTACCTTTAACTGCAGCTTACAGTTTATTCACTTTAGCCAGAGCCATTTTGAAAACATGTTGGGGGAAAAAAAATCTGATTTCTTGTTATAGAAATATATTCCTGTAGTACAAATAGTCAAATTCATTCACATTGCAGTGCATTTTCATCACAGATTTAAGAGCCAACAGTCAAAACACTATGATATTCTATGTCTGCTAATTCTATTTCTCTTAAGTCTTGAACTTTAACGTTTGTTGTCCAATCTGCAAAATGGTTATTCCACAGCATTACCGGGCAGGTTTGTTTGTGCCTGCTATTTTCAAAAGGGCACTACCTAACTGAAATGGAAGTTCCATAAGAGACCCCATATTGTGCCCACCCAGAATGGTTTTACAAGCAGAAAGGAGAAAGCTGCACTCCCTATGAATGGCAAAAATAAGCAACACATCTGTTATTGAATTAGTGGTTGTGCTGCTTATTTTTAACATCACTCAAAAGTGTAGCTTTCTCCCTTAGCATATAAAACCATGCCAAGTCCACAAAGATTCCAAAAGAACCAAGAGATCCTGTATCTCCAGGTGATTCACCTTCAGCCAACTCTCCAGTCTCCCAGTTCTGTGTCCCTGCCCAATTTTAGACCTGCATTCTTTCCCCACATGCAGAAAATCCGAAGAGCATGAGTAGCGTCATCCCATAGTCTCATCCCACCCTGCGGGTACATTGTCAATTCAGGAAAGACCTCTAATCATTAGTGCTTACTGAGCACTACAAGCAATCATTTCTGCCTACTAGCAAGCAATGAGCTTAGCAAAAGGTGGTCATTCAGCTTATACTTGCAGTGCTTGCAAAGCCAGGAACTTATGAGCAAACTGTAATTAAGATACTTATAGCCAGACAATTTATTCATTAAGATTCCATTTGGTAGAATATTATTAGCGAACTACAATGAAAGAATACTAGACGATGATAAAATTGAGACAATAATCACAGTTATGTGATTACAATAAGCAGAGCCATAGGAATTACAATTGCTATGGGGAAAAGCTAATTTATAATGTTAATTAAGTGTTACTATATTACCATTTGATGAGAATCCATTGAAACTAGCCTTTTGGGCCAAAGTCCAACATATTTCATGATTTCAGTAAGCTTAACTGTAATAAAAGACAAACCCATTTTGGAAATGGGCTCAGAAAAACCAGGCTATTGCCCAAAGATTGGTCAGCA